CTCTGTGTCTAACTTCACTGTTAAGGACAGTCCAACTGTTTCCTCTTCCTTATCCAAAGTGATGGATTTTGTCATTGGCAGATGCAAAGGGATATCTAGGGACACATAATAGGATTGTCTTGTCTACATTGTATTTTCTTTCTAAAGTGAATGAGGATATCTCTTTACGTCACAGAGTGAAATAATGTATCCGATAGGCGCATTACAAACCATTTAACCACTTTGTGCTGTATTCATAATTTGATTTTAACTGCAGCTTCCTTCAGAAATCTAGCCGTCACCATCTCCAATATTGGATTTTTCAAATACTCCCATTCATGAAGCCCTCTCTTTATTCCCTTCCCGTTGAAACGACATGGCTTTTAATCAGCCAATGCACAAAATGTCTGACTGCACTGGAGTCATTAAACCTGCCTCTACACAGAGACATGCACACATCCCACTGACTGCATCGCCTATTAGAGAGATGGAAGATTATGGCCTAAATGAAGCCATTAGTTACGCAAACCTAATGATCATCTTATTTGTATGTATGAATCTGATCCATTTCCCTTGCTCAAGTCAAACATTGCTTCCCTCAAATGATTTTGGAGGAATTGAGTAAAAACAACAGCGGCATCAACAACAAAAACAACATCAGGAGCCGTAATGAAAGGAGCGGAGGGAAAGGCACTCAGGCAATTGCATCCATTACCCCTCTCCTCTATGTGGACCCCTTCACAGGGATTACCCCTGGTTCCAGAGAGGTTGATTATTAGACGCTCGCAAAGGTTTCGTTTGAATCGCCCCAGTTAAACGAGAAATTGCAGGCTGAGGAGAGAGGCTAATAACAGTTATTAACCCCTGTGCAGGCGGCAGTGTAAAAGAGCGCCACAATAACGAGGTGCACCACCAAGGTTTGAGGCGCAGCGCAGCTAGCACACCCCCGAGGAGAAGCTAACTTATTAAAATAATGAATTAGCCGACCAGATTACTGCAGCCTGCGGCAAAGGCAATTATCCCCCTCCAAATCCCTGGACAGGGCTCCCTAGCGCCACCATAAAACAAGTGCTCAGAAAGCAGGAGCCCTCCGCTCCACACAAATGAATAGGCTGTTAATTAGGATCTCTCCCGCTGCGGGTAGCCTTCCCCACTGCCATAACAGAAACCACTTCCACGACAGGGAGAGGGAGGAGGGGGGAAATAATGGGAGGAATGAGTGTGATTGCAATAGATAGTGAAATATTTAAAGAGTGAGAAAAAGTGAGACTGCGAATACTTTCAGGAGCATGAAAAAACACATGTTGTAGAATGACAACGCAAGAGTTAGTTTGACTGATCATCGGTGGCCTGAACTGAAAACCGTGTGTGATGGCCTCTTTGGAAACAGCAATCAATCCCAGGCCTGTGCTGTGATCTCTGCTAAACATTTGATGGCTTTATTGTATACAAGGTCAGGTCCAGTGAGCCAGTGTGGACTGAGAACCAGTGCCGTCCTTCAGTGCATAACAGCAATTCTACAACAAAACTGTGGACTAATAAGATGCGTTTAAATACCTAACTTTTTTGTTTTGAATAAGTGTAAAAACTAATGAAGATCACCAACATCAGCTAGGATTCCCTTAAAGTCTGAGGTAAAGTGTTACTCCTAAAGAAGGGGTTATTGGTCCTCCTTGGCATGTAGAAACAGTCAGACGAGGATAGAAGTGAAGTAGGCCAATGGCCACCCTGAAAAAGAGCCCTCTGTACTTCATGACATATATACAGCCTCTAATGGTTATAAATACTAAAGCATCACATGGTTGACATTGTGAACCAAATCTGGCCACCTTCTGCTATCACCTTCCAACTACACATCAGTAGAAAATCACAAAGTTTTGAAGGCTGGACTCACCTTGTCCTGCATAGCTACACTTACACAAAGCAGGGAGATAACTGTCTAAGTGGATACTGTGCCAAGAGGACCACTGCTGCTTACACATATTGTGGTTCAGCTACTTATTTGGATGTTCTATTATGCATTTCAGCCATAACGCCTGTGTGAAACAGACCATTCATAGAATTGATCTTTGGGTAAAGATTAACCAGATACATCTGGTCTACATTTAATGCTTCAAATAATTAATGAAGCTTCCTTCCAAGCAGGATTTTTTAGGTTTTCACCAGGTTTATTTCATTCTGTTTTGCAAAAAACTAAAATGAGTTTGTTATGGGAATATTATCTTCCATGATGTCAGTTACTCTTGGGTATATAATGCTACTAATTTTAATGAGAAAAGATTGATATGTTTACATTACAGTGAACTGAATTGCATTTCGTCGACATCATACAGTGCTGTATTTACTGTATATATGTATAGAGTCATTTGGAAAATGAAACATTATGTATTAATAGTTTTTAAAGCAATACTCTTTATAGTGTGCTTTGCTCCCAAGAGAGCGATTATATAGTCACACAGATATGCAGGGCACAAAACAAGACATTATGCCAGTGTACTGTATGAAAATGCCTGCAAGGTTTGACATGAATGCAATTTCACGTAATTTGAATGCCTTTCATGAGGCAAGGACTCTTTTGAACTGTCTTAAAAAGCTCATCCACCATAGTAGCTGCCAGTGGCCCTGGGTACAGAGGAGTCATGTCGACAGGCCCAATTAATGATGGGGCGTCTGAGAGTGAATGAATGAGGAGCTTTGAGAGGATTCCTCCACCTTAAATCCCCCTGTGCTGCTGCTCCCAGACTGCCTGTGAAGAACAATCAAACGGCAGCAACCCCCTCCTATTTATCACTTTAAGACATTAGCCAGACATGGGCCTGAATATTAACCAGCTCCTTTTCCAGGAGAGTTCCACACCAAAGGCTGCGTGTGGCAACATACATTTTTAATCACAGGGGGAAACGAGGCCTCTCAATCGCTCTCATCCATTACTGTGTGCTTAACTCTCCGCATTTTTTCCACAGGGCTCTCAAAACAAGAAAAAAAGCTTTATTTGCTGTTGCTCTTCCCTTGCGGTTATTGGTTTGATTTTGATATTGTTTGTTTATATTTGAGCAGATTCTGCGGTTTCTTGATGGATCCCAGTGAGTCATTTCTCCTGCTAATTGTTTGTAAAGCACAATCTAACTATCTCAGTGACTATCTTGACTATGCTGACAGAGTTCATTTCCCTGGGTTTAGTGTGTGTCTTCCTGCGTACGGACAACTGGGCGGAGGCAGTGGAGCGTGAGCCAGGCTTCCACAGCTTAATTGGAGTCATGTTCTCCAGAGCCTGGAGCCTGCTCCTCTCCCTGCACCGGCCTCTCTGGTGCTGGGCCTGTGGTGGGGAAGGAAGGGTAAGGCACGGGTACCATGCAGGGAGATGATCTGTTCACCCCACCCTCTCCCTCTGGGTCCCCCCCCACTGTGACACATGGCACCCTGGTGACAAGGTCACTCCACTGTTGTGGCACCACAGGGGGAACTGGCCTTATTATCAGGAGAGAAGACATTCTTAAGAAGAATCTAAAGGAGGATCTGATCTCCAATCACATTTATTCACGCAAGACAAGGTTTCTTATATCCAGGAGCTTTCTTTCTTTTTCAAGGGTAAAAATTTACTTGAAATTAGTTGAATGATGATCATTTTCTTAAATTTAGACCTATACGTGTATTTATACTTTATTAGAGAAGCATTCAGGGAGCACAGTAACAGCAATTCCCGGAAAATAGCATGTAAACCCTTCGCTTTATAATATATATTAACTTATAATGTCTAATCAGCTGAGAGTGAGTCAGAGAGGTATGGATTAAATTTACATTTTTAAAATGCAAGCCAATGCAAATGTTGTATTGGCTTGCATTTAAGGTGTCCACTACCTATACAAAAAGGTGCCATTTTATAAATCTGCAAAGAATTACAATATAAAAGAGCTGCATCAACACATCACTGACACACTCTTAACAAAATGAAATGTTTCTTTGCTTCACTAAATATATTACAACTAATTTAGATCAGTATATTGTACAGGTGTTGCTGTAATTGTTCACTACCTGTATTATTATGACATATTACTTGGATGGAAAGGAAAGGGTGGGCAATCATGTGACAAAAGTCAAGACCTGAACACATAATCCTACAAGCTCGCTACAAGCACCACAGCTCACTGTGCACATACGTAGCACCCACAAGAATAACGTCATTAGACTTTTATTTTGAAATGTTTCAGAATTGTATTTTCGTTATGTAAGGTGAACTTACATAAAAAAACTATTAAATTCGCATTTTGCAACACAAAAATATATGTTGATATATAGACGTGAAAATGACGAACAAATCCTAATAACTCCAATAGACTGTAGATCGTATGAAACGACTAATGCAGTCAAGGCTTGAATCATTATTCTGTAAATTAGATGTTTATAAGACAAGTAACGCACCACATCTTTGGTTAAGGAAGTTAAAAAGCCAAATTTCTTTCAGTCGATGTCCCAATTGTTAAGGTAACTATTTAATAATCCCTGTTTAGTGAAGAAATTACAGAAAAGGGTTAAATGAGGTACACCATGCATGGGCTGGCACTGCACTGACAGCATTTATCAAACTCAATCTCTCTCAGTGTAAGAAAGTGAAAACTAAGGAAAGTCATTTTGTGCCCAATGAAAGTTTTCCTTTGGAAATTTTGCCTTCCATTAAGAAGCAAATTAAGCACTGGACCAGTGCATTCTAGAAGGTCCACCCCCTCCAAATACACACACTTCTAATTTGTGATTTATTATGTTCTTGATGTGTGAGGAGCATTGGTGTGCTGTTGAGTGAGAGGCGGTTTATTCACTCCACAGTGGGTGTGTGTGTGTGTGAGAGTATTTGCCAGTGCATATGTCTCGCAGAGAGAGGTGAAGCAGAGTATGCAGCCATCATTCACTGCCGTGGGTCGGCCCTCACACGTGACAGCAGGTGACCAGTGTCAGACAGAAAAGGTCACAGGCCTGCACTCTCTCCCAGTTTACGCAGCTTAAAAAATCCTGCAGATAACCTGACAAAATCCGACTCTACGAGACTGATTATCTGCTGTTCTTAAGGTTTGGGTCATGGTGAGATGTTCACTGGCTGGAGCAGCTGAAAGTGCGTGCTCACTTGGCAGGATGCCTCTTTACCTGATGTGTTTTCTCTGTCCTGCTCTCCTCTCTCGCTATTTCACTTTCTTCACTGCCCATTTTTCTTCAGAACTTTAAACAGCACGTCGCCTTTCTTCCTGGCTCGTCTGTCTGTATGGAAGTCTGGAGGCGGTGTTTTTGAACATCTTTCAGCCTGGCTACTCTCTGTGGGAGTCCTCTGACTTGAAGGTACTACCTTATTTGTGTAATGTGTGATGCACATTTGACATTCACCTGTGTGTGTGTGTGTGTGTGTGTGTGTGTGCGTGCTTGTGTGTATGTATGCGTGTTTGTCTCTGAGCTTATTCTTGTGTTCACAGGCCCATTAGTGAAATAGATGAAATGCATTCCTTTTTCATCTCGGTATTGCCCAAAGGGTGTTTTTCCTTTCTTGCATTACAATTATAGTAAGCGGTCCCTCATTAGTGGTAAGCATGTTTTAATACCTTGATAAGGGAATTTCACACAAACACATGCAAATGTTTTTTTGTTGTCGCGAGCACAAGTAGCCAAATATCTGTTGTCCTGGGTACAATGTTGGTTGTTTTGGTGTTATTTTTCAGGGGGAAGATAAAATCTGCGGGATGAAGATTAGCTATGAAGTTTTACATAGGAAACCTTTGTACTGGCCCCTCTATTGTGGGAAAAGGGCATTGATAGGAAGGCAGATACAGCTGATCAATAAGTAGTGCAGTTTTCTCCCCAGGCCTTCCTTCATATCTCTCTCTTGTTTGTGTTTTGAAGGGGTCGGGGGTAGGGTCTGGTAAAGTGGTGGCGTGGGCGGACCCCTTTATCAATCAGGATTTTAATTACACACGTCTAGGGCGACAGCTAGATTAGAAACCAATCGACGCTATCGGCCACAAAATCTAATTACTGTTTATTGACAGATAAGGGCAGGCCCCCTTCACTTTTCCAAATAAGATAAACCTCCCCCCTCGTACACAATGAAGAGCAGCTCATACTGTCCATGAAAGACTCGATGATAAGTAAACCCCCACCAGAGAATTCCTCTATGCTATTGGTGAGACATTACGTCTATGGACTTCTCTGTTAGAGATGACACAGGATCAGTGTGAGAGACAAATTACACCTCTCCGATGAGCTTTGTAACAGTAGAAGCCTTTTGCTAATGCACTACTTGTGTGTTGAGGATTATTTTTTTTTCTCATTGGAGCTCATCTCGGTAACCTTTAAACTCACGTGTCAAAAACTCTAGTTACTCCTTGTTTGTAAGTTACTCAAGTCAATGGGGTCTTAATGATGAGTAATGAGTGACCCTTAACCCTGCCGAGTGCACACAGGTGAACCATTCCGTCTCCCGTAGACACATATCTCCCCTGAGGACAGTCCATCTTCGCCCTCCTCGATGTCCTCCTCGCTCTGAGCTACAAACTGCCCCCAACACCCTCCGCACCCTCACCCACATCAGCCGTTTTACAGCCTCCGTCACCGCGCAATGCACTTTACCTTTAAAGCCGAGAATCTGCTTCAGGTAAATATGGAGTAAATGATTGGATTATTGTTCTTTCATTTGGCTGTGTAGTAACGGCTGGATTATAAACATTGCAGAGTATAGATTTCCTGTCAGATCCTATGAATCAGACATCCTTATCTCATTTCCAGACTGCCGCTTCACCCATGCGCTGCCATCTCCCAGCCAGGGAGTCTGGGAGAGCGTGGGGAAGCACACACACACACACACACACACATGCAGACATAAACATAAACAGACAGACAACCAGACACAGTCACACACACAGATGGGTTAGTGGTAGAGAGAGAGAGAGAGAGAGAGAGAGAGAGAGAGAGAGAGAGAGAGAGGCAGAGAGACTGTTGTCACCCAGCACAGCACAGGCACTCCAAAGTCCATTCGAAGATTTCAAAAACCACTTAGTCCCCCTGTCCATATTTGTTAAGCAAGTAAATCTAAGGGCTGCAGCGCACTGAATTCAAAAAGAGAGAAGAGACAGCGATGTAGAGAGCATGAGAGAGACGGAAAGGGAGAAAGATATCTCCTAAATGAAATTTAGGCGAGGGTGGGATGGAGATTGGCTGACAGCAGGTGGAGGGAGAGAGGCTTTGGACCCTCTGATTTAGTTTGAATCGCTCAAAGAAAAATGTTCAGGTTTGAATAATGCAGCATTTTTGACCGGGGCTGGAGATTGATGCCTGATTCATCTGATGTTTGGACATCATATCAGCAGTTGTGTCTGATATGTTTCATGTTTTTTTTTTCTCTGCCTGCCTCTCCGCCTCTTCACTGAATTTCGTTTCACTGGATTACCAACACTGTAATTAGGTTAGGGAGCTGTGTGGACCAGTAACCGCCGCACAAGCATGCTTTTCTTGGAATCCATCAAAACTCACCGCAGAACTACGGAGAGTCAACAAAACGCCACACGCAAAACTGGTATTACACAATTGTAGGGCGCATGGAAACCCCCTATTGATTCTACATCTGAAAGCAACAAGCAGAAATGTTAATCTGTCTGCGAGCTTTCATTCTGTCTCATTTCAAAAGTGCCATTCCAGTGCATTCCAGTTTATCATCAGAGTACAATAGCAGGCGGGAGAGAACGCAAAAGAATATTTGCTCTTGTAGGTCACTGTGACGTTGGCCATTATCATAATTTATTTGATGGTGACTTTCAGAAAACCATAACAAAAACCCATGAAATCCCATTTTAGGGGACAATCAGTTGATTTCGATACTCAAGTGTCAGAACATATATTTGTGGATGATATTGCATTGGTAGAGACAAGTACGTGCAACTCTTCTGAGCGTAAACCAGAAGTGATTCAGATTAGTTTGAAGGAGGGGTCGAAGTAACGCTGAGTTTTACTATCAATTCACCTGCCACATATTTTCTTGGTAAATCAACAAATTGTTAAATCTATAAAATGTTGAAAAATAGTGAACAATGTCACAATTTCCTGAAGTCCAAACTGACATCTCCAAATTGCTTGATTTGCCCAACCAAGAGTCCAGAACCCAAAGATATCCAGTTAAGAATGATACAAAGCAAAGAAAGGCAGCACATCCTCACATTTGGGAGTTTGCCTCTTAAGTAAATGTTTGAAATGTATGATTAACGATGATTCAAATTTTAAAACAGTTGCCGGTTTATATTCAGTTGATCAACTGATTGATCAACTGAGCGTTTCAGCTCTACTTTGAACTACATTAAGCAAAAAGTAGATGTAGGAACTGAAATAAAGATTCTACAACTCCATAAAACCGCTGTTCCAATCACATTTCCTGACAATATCTCAATGACATTACACATTACAGCCCTTCATCTCATGGCTCCTTAAGAGAGGATTGTTTATGTTAGCCAATAAAACAAAAAAAAACTACATGTGATTGTGAATTCGTACAATTAGCGATGTTCTCCTTCACCATCTGGAGAATTCTTTCTGTGGGTTGTTGAGAGCCGCTCACTGGTAGTTAATGCACCTAACAGGGAACTGAACAGGACCGCTGTTGTCGTTCCTTAGTGCTGAAGCGCTGTGCCATTCCATTTATAGATTTTCTCTTTGATGGGATAATTTGGTCTTTATATCTCTCACAAATGAAGTGATCCTCAGCGCTCCTTGCGCAGCTCAATGTGCAGCTCCCATTTTCAAATACAGTTAATTGCATTCGAAAAGAATCAATGATACTTTCGCAGTGACAATATCATTCTTTTAATGTCACTTAATTTCCTCAGTGAAATGATTACATCAATAGCCTGGAACCCATTTCTATCTTTCAGCATGAATTAATCTATTAAGGACAATAATTACACGTTTGTAATGGATAGGTTTTTTTTGTGCTCAGAAGTAAATGCAGTCGAGTCTCCATTGTGCGCCAGGTTGTTGGCACTGTCCCGACTGTCATTCATTCAGTTTATGAATTACACTATCACCCTGGGAGAAAATAAATAAATAAAGGTACCTCTGCTGCAGCTCCTTGGTGGCCTTGTTTTGAGATAGCCCTCCCTCTAGTGGAGATGATAGCGGTGGTGACTGCTGTCAGCCGGCTTCATGCTCTGGGCCACAGCTGAGGCAGTCAGTCAATGATGGAGATTCTAAAATGGGTGGAGGAAATCCTTTCATAAGACAGGATAAAACAGAAATTATATGAACAATTTCAAATCTTTTTTTTTAAATCACATTTCTAAAAGGAAAATGGCTCCAGAAGCTGTAGGGTTCGGTGTGCTGCTTTGAAATGTATTTTAAAATTGTTTATACATATTGATGTTTCAAGTATATGTAGTATTTTGCCATAAAACTGACAGTGGATCCTAAAATAAGGGCCCGAGAACCACCAGGGGTCATGCAGAGGGGTAGTACGGGGGGCTAGTGGTACGTTCCATTTCACGATTATGTACAACACGTGCATTGATTATAGTTCAGCCTACTTTCACATGGTGGCTTTTACAGGATCTCACCTTGGCTTCAGAAAAATACATACCAAAAATACATTAAAAAACATAAATGAAAGAGTTTGTGAACGCCTGGGTTTATGTGACACAGCTACTGTGACCTCTGCAACAGACGAGACACTGCTATTATCCTGTTATTTATTCATTAATAGTGGAAACCAATCGACGGCCGTGGTGTTCAACTTTTTCACATCTGCTGTCCCCTGCCACTACACTTGTGGGGTGATGAGCAGAGGGCCAAAATAAACAAAATTAGAGCCTTTGACAGAAGTCAACAAATTGCTGTACAGACACACGCATAGAGGTACTTCTACGCTGCCTACAATGATATTGAGTGAGTTTCCTTACCGGCTGGGGTGCCTATAATAATAATTCAGAAAGCAGTGAATAATAAGATAATAACGGTGGAACAATCAACAGGATGTATTCTGCGGTATTTTACAACATATAGTATGAAACGAAAAAAAGGGGGAAGTTAAAGTCACGAGACGAACAGGCGAAACGATTACATTTCCTCCTTCCCTGAATCACATCTGACCCCGCTCACCCAAGTCCTGCTGCCGGTGGAGGTGTTTGGTTTAGCCACAGGGCGCGCGCCGGAGGAGGAGTTGCTAGTGTGGCTGCGGTGTGTGACAGTTAAACGGCGCGCTCAGACACGCAGAGCCACATCACCACCGGCACCACTACAACCGGGAGACACCAGTGCGCTGTGCTCGAGACGGGGACGTGACATGACTTGTCCGAGTAAGGTACACTGTA